TTGCATTTTTTGTTTTTTCATAGCAGTCACCGATTTTTATAAAATAGAGTTTTCCCTTATGGGGACCAGGAAACCGGTCCCCATAAGGGAAAAAAAACGGATATTTATCAAGTTATGGGGACATTGTGTCTCCATAAGGATAGGTAAACCCGCTCGCACACACACACACACACATGTTTTTCACTATTTGACTGTGATAAATGAAACTTTAAATTTCACATCATTCACATTTTTTTTTCTGAAACACCACATATATGTAGATAATAGCATACAGCTCTTACTTTTCTCTGATACGTCACCCAGCTCACTTCCTGCTTGATTACCTGAAATAAGAAAGAATTTAATATTCATTTCTATCATCAACATCAATTTGTAACTAACTGTTCATGATTTCCCATATACTGTTATTTAATATATTTTTCAAGAGCTAAAAAAGCTTAAAATTTATATGAAAAACAGGAAAGATTAAAAATATGATTACACTTCTGCAGGTCTTCCTTCAGTCTCCCAGCAAGGTCATTCAGGGTCATATTCTTCAGGATTTCAAGTGTGACTTCAAGAGCACCAACTTCCATGTATGAACTTATCATCGTGTCGGCGAGGTCTGTTCTATCCAAGTGCTTCACCTGACCCCTAGAAAGGGGCTTTAACTCTTTATACTTTGTGTGACTCAGTTTCCATTTAAACTCCTTCAGCTGATCATCATCGAGCTCCTTCAGATTCTCCAGCAAGAGGTCAGTGAGCGAGTTCTGAGTGTGCAGAATGTGGGAGATGAGTCCATGAGATCTTACAGACCTGTTTATGGTCACTCACACACATGCACTGAACTTTCCATTAACAGAATCAGTTTTCCTGCTCACAGTCTTATGTGGCTGCTGAATACACCTGCTATGATTTTTTTCATTACGATAGGAAACACACATGTGTGTTTATTTCTGCATTATTATTTAACCGCTATTTAACCAGGTGAGTATCTCTGATTTTAAAAATCTTTCAAATGAGAGACCTGTCCCATAGAAAGAGTTTAAATTTAAGATCCAATAGAGCACATTAAAACAATAGGGTCAAAATCAAAACAGACTGCAAATATCATGTTAAGGCAGCATCCAATATAATTATACATATTTTAGATTAAGTTATTCTGTTACAGTACGTCTGTAACATTAGGTGTAGGGCAGTATGGTACGGAAGTAGCCTGGGGAAGAGCTCTGCGGAGAGGGAGCTTTTTGTCTGCTATTTTCAGCAACCTTAAGCTATAAATAATTACTAGCTTTCCTGCATTTCAGTGTCTGGTATTTATGGACAAAATGCATCAAATGCCGAAATGCTGTAGCCAAACCTCTTGTTGAGCCATTGCTTAGATGTTTATAGCTGTAAAGAAACCAGTTCCTGTGAATCGTTGTCTGACTCTGTAATAAAAACCAAAAGTAATGTTAGCTTTATATTTAGTTTACCAGCTGTAATATCTTACAACCAAAGCAAACTGGTCAGTTTTTACTCACACAGGCAGTTTGCAGTCACAGGCAGAGACGTCCACTGATCATTTGGACTCATAACTATGTGCCATATTTCACCCTGTATTTAAGTCAAAAAATGGTATAGCCATTACACTGCATGTTCCTTCAGTATTCAATGCGTACTTTGTAAGTGACACTATATGCTTTTCTATCAAGGTATTCAATGCTTGAAGTGGGTCAGTGTCAGGGTCAGCCCCTGTTGTCCCACTCTGTGTCCCTTCCCCGTTTGGCCAGCAGGTGTTGCTGGTCATCCCGTCCTTCATGTTAGTCTTTGTTCTCCCCTGTTACCTGTTTGGCTACTTGGCTCAATGCGTTGCGCATGTGGTTGCCTGTGATCTTTGTCCTGTGTTTGAATCCTGCCTCCTTTGTTTTTGATTTTGGCTCCCTAGTGTTTCATTTGAGTTTTTCTAGTTCTTGTATCTGGTGATTCTGTATTTGGTTTTTGGTTTTGTTCCTTGTGCCCCTGTCTGTAATTCCCCAGTGTTAGTTTCTGTTTCCTTGGTTAGTTCTTAGTTTCCCTGTTTTTAGTTCCTTTGAGTTTTTTAGTTTCACCTGTGCCCTGTTTCCCTGGTCTTTGTTAATTAGCCTCACCTGTCCTGTGTTAGTCTCGTTACCCCTTAGTATTTTAGTTCCTGCTTCTGTTCAGTTCCCCAGTGGTTCATTGTTGTTGGTAGATGTTAGATGTTTTATTGTGAAGGTTCTGTTTGTGCTTGAGTATTATTCCCTGTATTAAATGTTACTTGCCCTGTTTTTGTTGTAGTCTTTGTTTACTTTTGACCCCCTGTGGTCCTTTCTTTTTGTTAGTCCTTTCTTGTGTGTTTAGTTTAGTTAAATAAACCCCATTTGTTGTTCTCGGAGCTGCTAGTGGGTCGTCCACCTTTTTTTGTGCCTGTGTCATGCCACGTTCCTGCACCAAACCCGTCCGGGTCCATGACAGATCAGTACTCACAGGTATGCAGTACCAGCACCTCTTTGTTTTTCTCTTCAGAGTACCGGCACCTCACTATATCTGTTGAGTACTGGCACCTGAGGCTGAATAACAATAGAATAGAATAGAAGCTTCATTGTACATAAAATACACAACAAAACTAAGCGTGCTGCTTCTGTTCAATGCAATAACGAATCAGAAAAATACAGTCAAACAAACAAATACTTTACATATGTAAAAAAACAGTCAACTAACGGAGGCAAGTAGCAAAAATCAATCATTTGGAAGAATAAGATGAATTGAAAAGGATTAGTATTATTAAACTGGTTTTTATAATCAGAAAAGACTAATATTGCACACTGATGACTTTTTGTTGTTGTTCAGTGATCTTTTAGCCCAAGGGAAGAAACTGTCCTTGAGTCTGGAGGTGCGTGTTTTGATGGACCTGTAGCACCTACCAGAGGGCAGCAGGTCAAACAAGTGGTGTGTGGGACGGACAGTGTCTCTGAGGATGTTTTGGGCAGAGGCAGAGGGATCTGCTGATGGCTTCCAGGGATGGCAGAGAGCAGTTGATGGTTTTTTTCTAACCCTCTAGAGGACTGTCCTCTCTGCAGATGAGCCCCCAGCATGCCACACTGTAATGCAGTACGCCGGCATACCACACTGTAATGCAGTACGCCGGCATACCACACTGTAATGCAGTATGCCAGGATGCATCTGATGGCGGAGCGATCAAAGGCCACAAGCAGCTTCTGATCCAGCTTGTTTTTCCTGAGCACTCTCAGAAAGTGGAATCACTGCTGTACCTTCTTAGCAAGTGTCAATGTGTTGGTAGACCAGGAGAGCTTCTCAGAGATGTGTATCCTCAGGAATTTGATGGACTGGTTCCTTTCCACACAGACTGCATTGATGTAAAGTGGGGAATGATCACCTCTGTGCTTCCTGAGGTCAATGACGACTTCCTTTGTCTTTGTGGTGTTTAGCACCAGGTAGTTTGTTGAACTCCACCCTGTCAGTTTCTGAACCTCATCTCTGGAGACTGACTCATCTCCTTCTTAGATGGTCCTGATAACCGTGATGTCGTCCATGAATTTGATGGTGGTGTTTGTGGGATGGGTTAGGGTTAGGGCAAAGAGTAGTGTGCTTGGCACACAGCCTTGTGGAGAGCCATTGCTGAGCGTAAGGGAGGAGGTGACATAGGAGCCACATCTAACGGACTGGGGCCAGTTTGTGGGGAAGCGTTTTACCCAGGCACAGGTTGTGTGGGTATTTGTGGGGGGTTAGGTCTAGCAGTTTCCTGACCAGGATATTTGGAATGATTGTATTAAAAGCTGAGCTGTAGTCTATAAGGAACATTCTTGTATAGTTTCCAAAGTGTTCAAGGTGGTTCAGCATGGTGTGGAACGCTATGGCGATGACATCATCAGTGGGCTGGTTTGATCTGTAGGCAAACTGGTGGGAATTGATGTGATGTATAACCAGCCCCTCAAAGCACTTCATCACCACTGAGGTGAGAGCGATTGTCCAGTAATCATTGAGGTAGGTTATGTCAAACTTTTTTGGAACAGAGATGATGCTGGATGACCTCAAGCAGGGAGGGATGGTGGGTTGAGAAAAGGAGAGATTGAAGATCTTGTTGAGGATGTCAGAGAGCTGGCAAGCACATGCTTTGAGTATTTTCCCTGATCCTCTGTCAGGACCAGCAGCTTTCCTCAGGTTGACTTGCCTGAGATCTCACTTGGTCTTCCTGCAGAGTGAGTGTGTGAGTGCTGGAGGATGGGGGGGCAGTGTGGCTGAGTCTGACCTGTGTGGCTCAAAGCGAGCAAAGAAGCTGTTTAGCTCCCCTGATAGCGGGGCGTCTGCATTAACAGTAGCGGTGTTGCTGCCCTTGAAGTTTGTGATCTGCTGTATTCCCTGACACACCAGTCATGGTTGCTGTCTGTGAAGTGGTCCTCTATTTTCAGTTTGCGCCGTCTTGGCAGCTTTGATGCTTCCTCAGGTCAGCTCTGCCTGTGCAGTACTGTACCCTGTCCCCTGTCCTGAAGTCAGTGTCGCGGTTCCTGATCAGTGAATGGACTTCTCTCATCATCCACGGTTTCTGATTTGGAAAAACTTGGGCAGGTTTGTTGACAGTGACATTGTTAGCACAGCTTGCAATGTAGAACAGCACAGGTTGTGTGTACTGCTCTAAGTCCTGATATTCAGAAAGACTCCATTCAGTGCGTGTAGCTGGGAAATAGCACCATCTGGCCAAGTCTTAATTATCTTTGTAATGGGCTTAAATTTCTTCCTGAGGTTGATATACTGTAGGCTCGTATGAGGAGAAGAGGAATGTCGTCTGACTCGCATAAATGTGGTAAAGGCACAGTTTTGTAGCCATGCGTGATGTTAGAGTAAACACTGTCAGAAGTGTATTTTCCCCTGCTGGCAGAGTTCATGTATTGAGTGAATTTCCTCCTTCAAATGAAACATTTTTAAGTATCTGATTTCATTTGCACTTTTGAGTTTGCCCAACATTTTAATGTCTAATTGTAGTTATCAGATCTGAATTAGAATCGAGGATGGTATGCCACATATATTACTCTCTACCACATTTTAAGGTGAGTTACTTTTCAGGGTCATGTCATGCACCGATCATCCGCTTCTTCCGTGTGCCACGCCCCCTCGTTAACTCAGTCTGGATCCTTGCCTTTAGTACTGCAGCACTACTTTTAGGCATGTGACAACAAAAGGGAAGTGAAGGTTTCTGTTCAATCGATGGGATCCATTAGGGTTAGTACCTGTGGGTCATGATGCAATATTTTTGTGTGAGATAGTTAAGCTGGAAGAAGAAACAAATACTCATGACCAGCAAAGGCTGGATCTTGTTTTTCCTTCCATGCACTTTATTCCATCCATGGTAGCTCCCCATAGGTGAACCTTAGTGGTCCATGCAGAGAGCTCCAGGGCGCCCCCCACAGGAAGCCCTTACGGAGACCAAAGCCTTTCAAACCAGCTAAAGATCAAGAGACAAGAGCAAATTCATTTCTGTGGCTGCAGTAAGAAGCCAGTGGTTTGCTATATATATGGGATTTTATATTCTTACCCTAATCAAGCAACACCATTGTGGTACAGTATATTTAGATAAAAATCAAAAACAATAGTAAATCAAAGGTAGAACCATGACATGCTATGCAGATATTAGTGCTGTAGTTCTCGAGACCGGTCTTGGTCTCGAGACCGGACTTGAGACCAATTTTTTGTGGTCTCGGTCTTGTCTTGCTCTCGACCCTATTTGGTCTCGGTCTTGTCTTGGTCTCGGACATAGCGGTCTCGATGGGATGGGGAAAAAAAGAGAAAACAG